CCAAAGATGGCTGTAGCAATATCTCCACCCCACATGATCTTCTACCTTGTCACTCCCCTATCAAGAAGTAGCATCAATGTCCCTCCCCTTTTAACTAATTTGTAACTAGTAGAACGTGGGAGAAGCTGCACTGTATGATTTCCAAGGCTAGATCATAAAAGGCCACGTGATTCTGCCTTGCTCTCTGGGCTCTTGCAGCCCTATGTGCCCATATAACACGTCTACCCTGGACAGCCATGCTGTGAGGAAGCCAGGTCACACGGATAGACCATGTGTAGGCTCTCTCATAGGTGGTCTTGGTCTTCAAGTCCCCCCAGCCCTGACACCACGCATGTGAGAAAACAAGCTTCAGATAATTCCAGCCCAAGCTGGCATGCCACCCCCAGCCTTTGAGTTTTCTTAGTTGAGGCCCCAGACATTGGGGAACATGGATAAGCTTTCCCTCTGTGTCCTTTCCAAATTCCTGACCCACAGAATCCACGACACAACAAAATGATGGTTGTTGTATGTCCCTAACTTCAAGGTGGTTTGTTTTTTAGTATAGTCAATAGAACAACAGCTTACACACACCTAGGGTTTACTGTGTGCTAGTACTGCTCTGTGTGCTTTACATGTATTAATTTAGCGAATCTTCACTATAATTTTATGAAGTAGGGACCATTGTTTTCTCCATTTTACATTGAAGACACTCTATCCAGTACTGTAAGACCAAGACAAAGAAGGGTAGTGGTAAATGGTGCATTTGTGTGTCTCTCTGAGAAGTGGGAAATTTAAATATCTTCCACAGACCACATTTCAGCACTTTTTTATCTTTCACAAACTTAACTTTTTTAGATTTTTATGTATATGCGCAATACACAATACACAAATGTACAATGTCTCAGAAAACTCCTAGGCACCATTCCAGATCCTCTTGGCCCCACCAAACTCTTATTTCAGCTGCTGCCACCAATTCTTTGTGGATTCAGACCCCTTCACACTGCTGCAATCTACAGTGCCTCTCCACAAGCCTGTGCTACACACCTCTTACCTACTGCCCTGGCTTCCCATTGACTCTACCCCAGAAACCTGTTCAGCAACCTCACTCATATAACCCAGAACTGCCAGAAGAATTAACTCCCCAAAGACCAATGGGAGAGAGAGCTAACGAAGAAGTACTTGCCCCTTTGTCTCCACCTCTCCAGACAGGCCTGAGACTGAGCAGTTTTGATAGCATCTTGCAGAGGGGTTCCATGGGATTAAACAAAACAGCCAATTGAACAACATCTTTGTACAGCTTACTCCCTGTTCCCTGCCTCACACCATCATCCCCCACGCCAGCTCCCTCGGCTTGTACTTCCCCATAACATACACATTCACGGCCAATTGAATTCAAAGTCTGGCCTGCAAAAATCAGGATGTTAACATTCATCTTTGTGTGTGCTCCGCGGATGTTGGTGGATTTCTGAGCACGCACCACCACCTTGTGTCTTCTTGTGGAATTACATGTGAGTATCAGGATTTGTTGCCCTAGAAGGGATTTGTCACTCATTTATTCATTTAATAAACAATTATTTAACACCTACTATAAACCTTGCACTGGGAGAGATTCAGACTACAACAATTTCCCATCTGAAGCCTCTCTGGAACTTTTCAGGGCACATTAACTCCATGCCTCAAGTAAGGAATGTCAGTGTGAGAAGTAGGCTGAATGGAGGAAGCGAGTTAGAGAACAAGTGTCCCACCTAACCCAAACGGCCACTGCTCAGCGCTAAATAGTTGCTCCAAGAAAGACATTTGGGCCTTTCATACTCCAAGAGAAGCCGGAAATTCAAATGTTGGTATGAAAATCCCTGATTTTTGAACAACTAATTCTAATTCTTTCTAAATGTCATGAGCCAACTTTGCACATCTGCAGGCTCTGTTCTGCTCAGAACACTCTTCAAGAAAGAACTGCCTTCCTGGCTGAGAAGAGTGTGGTTAGCTAACAGCCTCCAGTTATTAACTGCTTCAGCTTTCAATGGAAGGTATGCTCTTTTTGGAACAGCCCCAACCATTAACTTAGCAAAAGAGCCATACAAGGGCCTAGACATTTGTGCGCAAAGTGAGGCATCTCTAGAGAACAATATTTGTTCTGGAGTTTCCCATTAGACTGGAAGAGACTTTGTCAGGTCTGCATGGCAGGCTGATAGTTCCCGTTCCCAATCTTTTTTCTTCCTACTTCTTTCCCAAATGTTTCCTGTAAGTGTGAACTGTTTTGGTCATTTTGTTTTAATTCCCAGTATCCGGCCAACAAAATTCCTAACATTGGTTGACTAAAGTAATAAATTACTGTTACTGAGCTGGCAGCTTTTAAAAGAGTAATAATAATAATAAAATAATAATGATAATATTAATAATAATACTCTCTCTTCCACTTGTTATGAGGCTGCACCACCAAACTCTCAGGGTTTTCTGGATAATTCTCAATTGCAGAATGCAAGGTCAATATACACACATCAATTCTGTTCCTATATTAGCAAGAACAATTGGAGATTGAATTTAAATAAGCAATAACATTTAAAATGGCATCAAAAATATGAAATTCTTAGAGATAAATTTGTCAAAAGATGTGCAAGACTTGTGCACTCCAAAACATTACCGAAAGAAATTAAAGAAGATCTGGTTAAATGAAGAGATTTACTGTGTTCGTGAATTGAATGAATCAGTTTTAAGACTGCAGATATTTTGAAGCTACAACTTGCTTTTACCCCACCTTAGCGCTCTCTCTTTCTTTGTCTGCAGTGTGTAGCTTTGTGCCTGGCATAAAGTAAGTGTTCATTGTTCATTGAATAAATGAACAAGAAATAAAATTTAAAGGTATAGGGAATAATTAAGTTCAGAGTGGGATCACAACTATCTGAGAGTGCTATCAAAGGTGTCCTTCAAGATAGATTTGGAATTCTATAAGCTGTGATGACGGGAGAGGATCATTAGACATAGAAGTCCAGTTATGAGTGAAACTGCATTCAATTGCTATACTTTGGGGGCCAGTTTGCTCAAGATGGTGACTGCAAACACCTTGAGAATGTGGGCTGACCACATGTTCTGAAGGACCAGCTACTCTGTGCTAAGGAATTTATATTTCATTCTTCAAAATCGAGATGGAGGAGGGCACATTAAATAAATTTAGTAAAGAGTTCACTGATTCAACATTTTAAAAAACTTGTTGAGCACCTGCTCTGGACCAAGGCTTGTGCTCAATACCAGGATAAAACTGGTAAAGAAAGAAACCATCCCTGCTTCTGTTATAAAACTGTAGTAGCTAATGATGAGAACCATGTTTGTGTCAGGCAGAAAGTCAAATTCTTCACCTGTTCTTTACAACAGCCAGATAGTTATTAACTTCACTAAATGTGAAGAAAAGTGAAATAAATTAAGAAATGAGAGTTCCAAACACAGATCAACTGGCAAAAAAAAAAAAAAAAACTTTTGAGGTGTAATTAAGAAAGAACTAAAATCACACATTTTAAATGTACAGTTTAATGGGTTTTGACAAATATAGGCATTTTGGCACCATCATCATCAAGATATAAAACATTTGTATCATCCCAAAACGTTCCCTTCTCAGCCATTGATCTGATTTCTAACATTATTGATTATTAGTTTTTCCCAGTGGTTGACAACATAATCAAAGGTGACTGCAAACACCTTGAGAATGTGGGCTGACCACATGTTCTGAAGGACCAGCTACTCTGTGCTAAGGAATTTATATTTCATTCTTCAAAATCGAGATGGAGGAGGGCACATTAAATAAATTTAGTAAAGAGTTCACTCATTCGACATTTTAAAAAACTTGTTGAGCACCTGCTCTGGACCAAGGCTTGTGCTCAATACCAGGATAAAACTGGTAAAGAAAGAAACCATCCCTGCTTCTGTTATAAAACTGTAGTAGCTAATGATGAGAACCATGTTTGTGTCAGGCAGAAAGTCAAATTCTTCACCTGTTCTTTACAACAGCCAGATAGTTATTAACTTCACTAAATGTGAAGAAAAGTGAAATAAATTAAGAAATGAGAGTCCAAAACACAGATGGCAAAAAAAAAAAAAAAAAAAAAACTTTTGAGGTGTAATTAAGAAAGAACTAAAATCACACATTTTAAATGTACAGTTTAATGGGTTTTGACAAATATATGCATTTTGGCACCATCATCATCAAGATATAAAACATTTGTATCATCCCAAAACGTTCCCTTCTCAGCCATTGATCTGATTTCTAACATTATTGATTATTAGTTTTTCCCAGTGGTTGACAACATAATCATATAGTATGTACTCTTGCATCTTGCTTCGACTCAATAAATTTTGAGTTTCAACCATATTGTGGTGCCTATCACTAGTTTATTGTTATTATTGCTGAGTTCAGACTTTAAGGAAGAGATGAAGGCATTAAACAAATAATCTCTTATTTTATTACAACAGCGTTAAGATAACCTAAGGATAAGTACAAGTGAAAATATAGTACTTTGCTTAACAATTCAATCAATCCTAAGAGTGTACACTGGGGTTGCTATGTAGGGTCATGATTGTTCGTGGAAAATGAAGAACATTAAGAGATACCTGAAAAGAATCTTATGTATCCTACGAATGTCCTTATTTTACATCTCTAATTAAAAAAAAAAAAGTCCAGATGATGTTAGGAAGTGCTCTTCGTTGTCTCTTTGAGCCTTGACTTTACAGTTAATAAAAGAATGGGCTCCGTAAGGCGCTTGCTTCCGACACACGTGAGTCGCCAGCAGCAGCCTCCGCCAGCCCTAACACCTCCACGCAGACGGCGGAGACGGCCACTGCTCCAACATGTTACTGTGTTTGTCTGCCGAATCCTGGGTACCATAGCGGTCACGTGCGCGCTGGCACCCAGCTGGCCTGGCCCCGCCCACCGCCTGCGTACACCCGCGAATCGGGCCTCAGCCATCCCAGCCCAACAGAAACGCCCAAGAGCCACGCTGCGCCTGCGCAGTGCGGCCGGTGGGCGGGGCGGGAGATGCGGAGGCCGCGAAGTGGAGCCGCCCCGGAAGGCTGGGAGCCGGAGCTACGCCGAGGGGGCGCGGCGTCGCGGCGGGCCGGAGCCGGTGAGGCCAGCTCCTCTTCCTCCGCAACCGAAAGAAAACTTTGCTGCCCCTTCCGCGGCGCTCCAGAGTCCTCGTCTCGGCTCCTGTGCGCGCAGCGGTCGGCAAAGAGCCTTTCTGCGTCAAGGCCTCGCTACCTCCCCCGGTGCGGGGCCTCGGCGCCATGGACTCATCGGCGCTGGAGCGGGACGCGGTCCAGTTCGCTCGGTTGGCGGTGCAGCGCGACCACGAAGGTCGCTACTGCGAGGCGGTGTTTTACTACAAGGTAAACCCGGAACCGCGCCTTCCGTCCGCGAGGCCAAGGGGCGAGGTCCATGTGCCCTAGTGATCAGACCCACTTAGCTTTGCTGTTTAACCTCTTCCTGCTCCTCTTGCTCTCCTTTGCAGGGGAGAGGCGATCCGGCTGTAGAGGCCAGGTACACCCCCACGCCCACCTGTGCTTCTTCCTCCAGGAAGAGGTTTGGTCGTAGCTTTGGAGTGACCGCTCCTCTGGTTGCAGTCTTTTCTGGCAAATGCCCACCGTTGAGCTGTTTATGGCGGCAGTAGTTAGGTATGGGTAGTTAACAGCTCAGTAATTCTCTCACTTGGTTCTGATTTATGGCTACTGGAAAGTGTCTCTGATATACACTAAAATAATGCATATTGGAAGAAAATATATAAAAAGTAAATGAAAAAAGAAAACGCCCCTCATCCTAGCACTTGATGTATATTTTTGTGCTTGTTTTTCTACGCATGTGTGTACACTTTTTTTTTTTAACAAACTTGGATCATATTGTTTATTTTTAACCTGGTGATTTGAACTTTTTGCAAATCATTACATTTACTTCTGTAATATGATCTTAGTACATGCATACCATTCCATTATGTGGATGTGCCACAATTTATTTACAAACTCTATTGGGCAATTAAGTTCATTCTGGTTTTTTAACATCATAAGTAACGGTGCGATTAATATCCTTATAACTAACGCTTTACATATTTCCTTGATATTTCTTTTGGATGAATTACTTGAGGCAGAATTATTAAACGATCCTCTGCTCTCCAATCCCTCCAGTTCTAGCCATACTCTATGCCTCCGTATGTATCTATATAATATTGTCTTCTTTTAGAAAGAATGTCAGACTTTGATAATACAGTAGTAGTAATTTTTTTCCGTGAACATATATGCTGTCAGAAATGTCTGTGGTTTGCTTTTTCTCAGATTAATATTGCTTTTATTTCATAATTCATATTTAGAGACTTGGTTTGTTTCAGAATCATATCTTTTGGACTGTCTTGGGACAATTTTGTGAAAGTGGTATTTCTGTAAAAGCAAAATTCTATGTTTTTTAGTTTTATGAAATACCTGATAAATATTCATAAGTTGAAATAGTATCATATAAAATAGCTTTTCCTAAAGCAAAAGAAAATACTATGCAGTGCTTCTCGTTTTGCTATAGGATTTTATGCACATCATTATAAAGAATTTTCTATCCTTGAGAAAGTCAGAAGTGGTTGTGCTTTTCAGAATTATTTATATAAACTTTATGAGATATTTAGTGGTTACTGTCTCAGTGCTGTTCTATAAGGGATTCCTTGATTGTCACTTTCGAATACAAATGAAATGAGTAAAATTGATACTAGCGGTTTTAAAAATTATCTTTATTTCTTTTAAGCAAGATAATTATTTGAAAATGAGTATTTACATGCAAAATAATTGAAAGGGCGAAAATATATTTATACACATGTTGAATCAGTTCATTGAAGTTAAGTGTAGCTATAATGTCTTTAGATAATGATACATAAGTTACAGTATTTAATGTTTACCTGTAAAGTTATATTTCCTCCCCTTAATTATCTTGAGTTCAAAATCTGAGGAAATCATATCTTTTCTACTCCCACAGCCTTCAGACTGAATTTCCATTTGAATCAAAACTGTAGTCTTCTTACTGATTTTAACTGTTAGGTTCAGTGATACAACTCCTGCTCCAGTCACTAGATTCAAAAAGTGACACTTAGTAGATGGCTACTTTGGGTCCAGACAATTAAGCATGAGGCTCCATGAAGTGCACATGCTTAAGTTACTGCAGAGAAGGTGTTGTTACTTGGAGAAATCTCTCTCTGGTCCTTCTTGGTGGTAGCACTGGTAACTTTCTTGGAATGCTGATGGAGAGAATAGAGGCTCTTCCTCTCTAGCCATGGCATAACTGGCTGTAGAAGTTATGGAATGAATAACTGGAAGAGGAATCCAGATTTTCTTAATAAAATAAGTTGATTTCATACAACTAAAATCTTTAAAATGTGTCACCCTTTGACAGTATTTTCTGTGGAGGGAAAGATTTTCTTTCCACTATGAGATATTTAACCTTTATAATTTCTTGTAATCGTTTCTTGACATTTAATTTTGCTTTATTAGCTATTATTATCTGTTCTAATGCTTTTAATGCTCAATTCACCTTCTTAAGATATATAATTTTAAATCTGACCTACTGCATGAAGAAAAAGGAAAACAAATCATACAAACCCCAGCTATTCTAAGAAAATGTTTATAATCCTTCTTGTTTGAGTTTGTAATTTTACAGTACGAGACAATCTAGAGCATTGAGAACTGAAAAAGTATATCTCATTTACTTTATGAAAAATTACTAATATTTTAAAAACATTCTTTTGTCATTCATAGAAAACAATGGTGAGTTGGAAAGTGGTAAAGAAAATTCTAATTATAATTCATCTAGTCTATTTTGAATTTTTTTTTTTAGGAAGCTGCACAAGCCTTAATCTATGCTGAGATGGCAGGATCAAGCCTAGAACACATTCAAGAGAAAATAAATGAGTATCTGGAAAGAGTTCAGGCTTTACATTCAGCAGGTAAGTAAAGTACTGCTATGTTTGTCACTGTATTTTTTTTTTCCTTCTCTCCCATCACACCTTACTTTTCTCGCTATGTTTCTTTCCTTTTTGTCTTTGGATCTTGATCCTTGCTCTGTTGCTGCTCATTCCTCTTTTGGTAATCACATCTTTAAAAGTCATACTATGGAAATAAGTGTTAGATCTGTGAAGAGGAACCTTAGAGATAATATAGTCCAACCTTATAATTTCCCAGAGGTGCAGAGATGGTGAATTATTTACTTTCAGACAGTGTATGTATATCACTAGCAGAATCAAGATTAGGACCCTGTTAAAATCTGCCTTTTAAATATCTGTCACATGCCCTCTGCTGATATTAAGATTAAATGACTGCTCTTCAGTGTTTGAAGACTTCAGCAGTATGTTCACAATCTCTTCTATATCAGTATCATCAACCTCAAGACTTTAACTAAACTCTTTGTAAACTGTATCTTGGAAAAGCGACCTGAAAGCAGAGACCTGGAACAACTTGTATGTATTTTTGTAAACAGCATGGCAAATGCTGTGAAACAACTACACACAGGCTTAATGATCACAGTTTTGTTAGAGGTGAGTGGTTTCTATGAAAATCTTAAGACAGGGCCCAGAAATTATATGTATTAAAATGTGAACTGCCTGTGCATCAGGGCCTCGCTTGATACAAAATTCCCCTGATTCATGTATTCAAAATACTGTGCAATTCAAAGGAACTTCTTTTTCCTAACCAAGTAAATGAGATTCTTAAATTTATAAATGTGACACAGAGACACAGAATGAGACAGTCCTGATCTCTTGAAAGAATAAAGGCTTGCCAGTGAAACAAGTAAAGTTCAAAAAGGATTTTTAAAGCATAACATACCTTAGTTGTTTTGCCAGCTTTTCGACTCATTTTGTTCAGCAAATGGTGTGTAGTCTGTAGAGAATTAAATGGTTTCCTTAATTATGAAGCAGAAGAGTCACTTATCAAATAAAAATCTTGTTCAAAAACCCAATTTTTAAAACAGGTCAAGTCCGCTGACAGTCAAGAGACTTTTGAGAAATGAGTTGACTTTCGGGTTGGAAAAGGTAACACAGTTTGAAATTAACCAGTGTGGAATAAAGAGCTCAAGACTTGGAATTAAAAGATCTAAGTTGAGTCCTTGCCCTTCCACTTACAGCTGTGAAACTGTAAGGCTAGATCAGTCATTCTCAACTGGGAGTGATTTTGCCCCTTGGGAGACATTTGGCAGTGTTTGAAGAGACTTGTTTTTTACATTAGGAAGAGATAGGGAGTATACTTCTGTCATCTAGGTGAGTAGAAGCCAAGGATATTGTTAAAAATCCTGCAGTGCCCAGGACAGTCCACAGCAAAAAATTACCCAGATGAAAATGTCAGTAGTGCCAAGGCTGAGAAACCTTGACTTAGATATTTTAACATTTTTGAGCTTTATAAGTGGGATTAGAACATACTTCAGAGAAGTGTTATTGAGAGTTAAAGTCTTTGAAAAAAATCATTTACCTTTAAGAGACAAAATATAAAGCTTTTTAAAAAAATAACAGCTTTATTGTGATATACCGTAAAATTTACCTTTTTACAGTGTACATTTCAGAGGTTTTTATTATATTCCAAAAGTTGTGCAATGTCTAATCACCACTATATAATTTTAGAACATTTTTGTCACCTCAAAAGAAACCTCTTATCTATTAGCAGTTATTACCTATTCCTCCCACTCCCTAGCTTCTAGCAACCAATCTATTTTCTCTGTCCTATTCTGGACATTTTATGTAAATGGAATTATCCATTATGTGGGCTTTTGTGTCTGGCTTCTTTCATTTAGCGTAATGTTTTCAAGGTTTATCCATGTTGTAGCATGTATCAGTACTTCATTCTTTTTTATGGCTGAATAACATGCTGTTGTATCGGTATACCACATTTTGTTTACCTGTTCATCAGTTGATGGACATTGGCTTGTTTCCACCTTTTGGCTATAGTGAATAATGCTGTTACGAAAATTTGTTTATACGTCTTTGCATGGACATATGTTTTCAGTTCTCTTGGATATATACCCAGGAGTGGAATTCCTGGGTCATATGGTAGCTTGAAGTCTTAAGTTTTTGAGGAACCACTAAACTGCTTTGCACAGTGGCGACATCATTTTATAATTTCACTAACAGTGTACGAGGGTTCCATTTTCACATTCTTATCAGCACTTGTTTTTGTGTTTTTTATTTTATCCATCCCAGTGGGTGTAAAGTGACATTTCATTATAGTTTTGATATGCATTTCCCTGATGACTAATGATCTTGAGTATCTTTTTATGTGCCAGTTAGCCATTTGAATATCCTCTTTGAAAAAATGGTTGTACAGATCCTTTACCTGTTGTATGTCAGGGTTCTCCAGAGAAACCAAATCAATAGTATATATAGATTTATAGTGATGAATTGGCTCATGCAATGATGGAGGCTAAGAATTCCCATTATCTGCCATCCTCAATCTGGAGGCCCAGGAAAGCCAGTGTATAGTTCAGTCCAAATCCGAAGGCCTGAGAACCAGGGGGAGCTAATGGTGTAATTCCCAGTTCAAGGGCAGGAATAGACCAATATCTCAGTTCAGCAGTCAGGCAGAGAGGGCAAATTCTCCCTTCTCTGCCTTACTGTTCTTTTCAGGCCCTCAATGGACTGTGGTGTCCCCCAACATTAAGGAAGGCAGTCTGCTTTTACTACCAATTCAAATGCAAATTTCATTCAGAAACACCCTCACAGACATACTTAGAAGTCAGGTTTAGCCAAATACCTGGGCACCCTGTCTTGTGATCCAGTCAAGTTGACACAACTTAACTGGATCACAGGTATAATTAATCATATACCCATTTTTAAATTGGAACAGTCTTTTTATTGAGTTGTAAGAGATATTTATATATTCTGGATACAAGTCCTTTGTATATCTTTATATTAAAAACAAACAGAAACACTTCAAAGTAAAAACAAGGAAAAAAATAGGAAAACAGCAGGAAATGTATCATCAGGGCCTAGTATAAATATATTACACGATTATTGTCTGTACCAAAAAAAAAGTTTTAATTACCTTAAAATGTAATTGAGTTTCTTTAGCATTTTCCAACTTTTTGTTTTGGGTAGGGAGGAAATATAAAGAGGACTTCTGGGTTTTATTTTTTTTAATGAAGGAAGTGCTGATAGGAAGAGAAATACAGGGAAATTTTTTAAAGGATTTTTTTTTTTTTACCACGCTAAACTTTTTAAATGAAAGATTATAGAGTTTCAATAAAGAATGTCTTAAATGTATTAAAATGATGTGTCGTTTCCTGGATATACATATACATAACATTTCTTCTCCGTGGCTTTATTCCTATCCCAGTTCAGTCAAAGAGAGCTGATCCTTTGAAATCAAAACATCAGTTGGACTTGGAGCGTGCCCATTTCCTTGTTACACAAGCTTTTGACGAAGATGAAAAAGGAAATGTTGAAGATGCTATAGAGTTGTATACAGAAGCCGTAGATCTCTGTCTGAAAACCGTATGTATAGCTACAAGTTATGTTTGGTGGAATTATGCTGAAAAATTTCTCCCCTTATTAGTGAAGTTTACTTAACATTTCTAGTTGTATCATTATAAATGTAACTAAGTTACTCATTAAAAGATGCTAAAGAATAAAAAATTGATAATAGACTTTAGCATCATTAAAAATTTGACAGTATTAAGATTAGGCAATTGTTTTTAAATTACAAATACTATTTTTTAACCCTTTTACATGTAACTAGAATTAACTTTTTCCAGGAAGAATTTGCCATCACAAATCTATGAATTTAGAATAACTCCCCCCACCCCTTTTTTAATTTTTTTTTTCCAATTTTAATACTAAAAATAAGGTAGTGTTTTGAGAGAGCTTCATTAATTTGCAATGTAAAATCTGTATGCCGAGTGGTTTTTACTGCTTTCTGCAGAGCCCTGGTTGGGACTGGTAGCTTTAAAGGACATCCAGTGCCTAAGAGCAGTGTATTTGACAGGAGTATGAGGTGAAGTGGTAGAGAGTGGTCTCAGTACTGTTCAGAGCACTGGCTTTTTGTTCAGGGGAACCATCTAGCCTGATTTCTGTGGGTACCTGAGGCTGGAAATAAGTCCTGGTCTTCTAAAGTTCCTGCTGCTCAGCCTTCCATGGCACACAATGGTTGTACAGTTGTGTTCCAGTTACCACTTGTCCACATTAGATGGTCTTAAAGCTTACTCAGCCTCAAGTTTGCAACAGTACTTTAAATGATACTTTTAGGATGAAAATAAAATGTCTTGGTTTATTCTCTCATAATTTCAGAAAGTATAATTGCATTGTAAATTTTTTTGCTTAGAAATAGCACGGATCGAGCAAATTAAAAATTATGCTTCAGAATATGTGTCTCTCTTTCTCTTAAGTCTTACGAAACTGCTGATAAAACTCTGCAAAATAAACTGAAACAGTTGGCTCGACAGGCACTAGATAGGTGAGTTTTGGTCACTCAAGTTCTTATCCATGGATGGCAGTGTATGTGTCACTTAAATGTGACAGATTTATCTAAATGCATGGTAGAGCTTGTAGACAGACCTCCATCTTTCACCTGAGATTTACAGTAAGTCTACCTTCATCCTCTGAATGAATTTATTCCTTCCTAGTCCCCTGCTTTAAATTCATGAAATCAATCAAATGTTTTGTTTAGCTTTTGCTATGAGTGTGTGACACAAAAATGATTATGATACTTGAAATGGAAGATTTACCTTCTGTTGTGTAATATCTGACTTCCAAAGAAGAGAATTTTCTGAGAGCTTTCTAGAGCTAACACGAAAAATAGAGAAATTGAGAATGAGCCAGCTTACAGCCGTACACATACCCCAAATTATACAGTGTGTGTAGCTCCTTCAACTCTGCTCAAATGTCAGCTTTTCAATAAGGCCTACCCTAACCATTCTATTTAAAATTGAATCTCCTCCAATATTTTCACCCTGCTTCCTCTATTCTGATATTCTTTTCTATAACTCTTACCACTTTCTAAGGCGTATGTAATTTACCAGTATTATGTTTGTTATTAATGTCTGTGTCCCTTCCAGCCTTCATCCCCTCAACATAAGCTCTGTCAGTACAGAGAATTTTGTCTGTTTTGTTCAGTGCTGTAACCAAGCGCATAGCAGAGTGCTAGATGTACGTATGTGCTCAGGAACTTGTCGAAAGAATGAGTGGATTTACACAACAGAATTATACCTCCTCAAGAGTGTTATAGACAGAGGAAAAGTGTGCTTATAACATAAATTCATAAAATTATCTCCTTTTGGGGCTCTGACTAGGTAGCTGTACCATCCCCAGCTCTTCTTTTTTTACTGAGGTATAAAAGTCATCCCTCCTTTTCATTACTGTCATCTAACCTTTAGTTTTGTTTTTCCAAATTCACGAAGAGATGAACACTTGACAGAGTTATCGTCTCCATTTTGACTTCTTTCACCAGTCAGAATCATAGATGAGCTTATTACCTAGGAAGATAATCCATCCAGTATTCTCTGAGTGCATTCTAAGTGCAAAGGGGTGGGTCAGTCATAGGCTCTTTTGAGGGTCTGTTCAAAATTAAGGATCCACTCTAAGAAAAATGCACATAATACTTTTTGCATATAATCTCAATGTTTTCACAAGACTCTTACATGTACATGTAGCTCATATATGTACCTCAGGTTAAGAAATTCTGTTTTTTAACTTGTTTGTTCTTTGACAGAACAAATTCAAAATTCTCTGGACTATCATGTGAGGCCATCTGTAATCCAACCCCTGCCACTGGTCTCATCTCCCACTGCTTCTCATTTGCACTATTCACAGGGACTTCATTCTTTTGAAATTATCCTCACTATGATGTTTCATGCTTCTGCACATTCGCATATACTGTTCTTTCTACTTAGAATGCTTCCCCAGGTGGACTTCTTTGCAGCTCAAATATCAATTCAGAAAAACGTTCCCTGATTCACCTTCTCTCCGCAGTTCATTAAGTTGATATCTTATGCTGTGCATTCACCAGCATGTAGTACTTCCATCTTATTATCTGTCACTTTTGGTGCAGTTGTCTTTCTTTTCCTACAAAACTCTGAGCACCTTAATAGTAGGGATTGTGTTTTATACATTATTGTATTTCCCCTGCCTTGCATAGTATCTGACAAGCAATAAGTGCTCAGTTAATGCCAACGGAAATTTGATTACAAAAGTACCTTTGGGAATAGCATAAGAAGTAAACAGTTGATTAGTATGTAAGGATTTTATATACTAATTTTACATTAGGAATGCTTGACTGGTTCTTGAAGTAAATTTTGTTTTCTGGAAAGCTTAAATGTGAGAAGGAAAACTAGAACAGTTTTTTCTGTACTTCTCCCTATTATAGAGCAGAAGCATTGAGTGAGCCTTTAACAAAGCCATTATGTAAAATCAAGTCAACGAATATTAAACCAAAGCCACCTCCAACGAGAGCACATTTTCCACTGGGAACTAATCCTTTCCTCGAAAGACCTCAGCCATTTATAAGTCCACAGTCATGCGATGCACAAGGACAGAAATATACAGCAGAAGAAATAGAAGTTCTCAGGTAAATCAATTTATGAGTCATTTTAATGAACAATTTTGTTAACATAATTAGTGCAAGTAATTTTATTCTCATTAAGTTTGCTGAGTCATATTCACATCTTTATTATATGTAATTCTATTATATAATTATAAATTGTATTGTCATATAGTCACTACTTGAAATTCTTAAAACTTGTGCTAATATATTTTAGTGTTAGCATTTCTACTAGACATGTTTTTCTGAAAATCCTAGCACTCTTCAAAATAGAGCACTAAACTTTAGGGGGTTAAATAGAGCTATGGCTGACCAGTCAGTCATGTGTGCAACTTTGTAACCAGAGCCCAAGTGGGGGGAAAATTTGTTACCTTGAAATAGTCTAAGCCAGGGGTCAGCAGAGGGAAGCCTTTAGCTATGAATGGTTTTTACATTTCTTTAAAGGGATGTAAAGAGAAAACAAAAAACAAGAATTTGTGACAGACCTCATTGCAGAGTTGAAACTGTATCCTATCTGGCCTTTTACAGAAAACATTTGCCAACCCCTGCTCTAGGAAGCCAGCTCAGTGTCCGGAAGAGCCTCAGAGATGTTAAAAATGCAAAAACAACAGTGATGTAGAAATCCTTGATTGCATTCTGAGCCAGCATAGATGGGATAAATATCTGAGCCACTGTTTCTGTTCTTCAGTTGGTCTCCGGAAGAAATCCAGTCTGCCTAGAGCTGTGCAAGTCATGTAGTTGCTCATTTTTAATTTCCTAAAATTAAGTTGAAAGGGCCCTTTCTTATGTAGCTGCCGCCCGAGGGCATTTTTCTTTCTTTTCCTGCTGTAGATTTTAATTCTACTCCTACTAGTCTGGCTCTCTTTGCATGAAATAATTGTATATGAACCAGCACAACACAGAGCAAGATTTTTTAAAAGGAGTGGTTTTGGAGTTGAGAGACAATAAATTAATAACAGTCTAACACTTGGGCTACTCAGCATCCAAAAGCTCCCTTCTGCACACATTTGAATAGTTCCATGCTACAACAAAACTGTATTTCTGCCTAACAAAATGTAGCTATCCATACAAGTGAAACTCCCATCTTTTCAAAATGATACACAGTCAATGTATCCATCACTTACTGTATTAGTTGGTCCTCAAATTCAGTCACAGTCTCCCTAAATATTGTTACCTAGAGACTAAGTTGTGAAGTTACCCTGCAGCTACTTCTAAATAAAATGAGGGAAAGGAAATAGTTAACATGTACAAATGAGTATATACACAAAACAAGAAGGAAATATGCAAAGCTTCTACAAACCATGTTTCTTTAATTTGTCAAGAGGCTATAGCTGTTACTTATGACACTTCTTTCCACTACCCATTTTATATACTCATACCCAGAAAATATGAAAAACATATTTTCCGGAATTATAAATGTCATATTTTTTAAATCCCAAAATAAGCATTTGCTTTCTCCCTTTGGACTTAGGATAGAATTCACTTTGCATCTTAGTGTCAAGGACACTCTCAATACCTGTAGTATAGTCCTGTCTTGAGACCATTTTGTTGTGAAGGATGTTAGTCTTAAAAGAATAACTCCTGTAAATTGAATTAAATCATTTATTTTCTGGTATTAAACTATTTTGTGAAAATTTTGTCCAAATAAAGATATCAACAGCATGAGATTGTTTAATTTTATTAGTACTATACCTTGTCATTTAAATTTTAAGGAGTTTAAATAAGTTTGATAATTAAGGTAGACTTGAACGTTTACTTTAGATTTTTGTTTGTTTGTTTTTTTATAGGACAACATCAAAAATAAATGGTATAGAATATGTTCCTTTCATGAATATTGACCTGAGGGAACGTTTTGCCTATCCGATGCCTTTCTGGTAAGTAAGCACTATTGAAATTTTGACTTCCAAGATCATTTTAATTTTTCAGTACTTTCTCCATACTCTGAAGCCCAATTAAATTCATAGTCTTCAAATTAAAATTTGTAATAAAAAATTTTGAATGAAAAATAAATTTTTGAAATGCATAGATTTGTTGCCCTTGCTCTAGAAGAGGTTTGAAGAAAGGTAGATATTTTTTCTTTTGTGCTGCACATCAATTTTAGAGAAATAGTATACAATATACTGCCAACACACAGTGAGTAGAGGGTAATGGATACAAAGGTGCATTTGGCACCAGAGACCTGGATTCAAGTACCAGTTTCCTATTTCTTAGCAAGTTATTTAATCACTTTAAGTATTTCCCAAAAATATTTGCTTTTATAGAATTGTTTTGCAGATTCAATGAGTAATGTGTATATAAAGTACTTTAGCATAATACTTAGCATATGGTCATTACTCAGTAATTAACTACTCTCATTATTAGCCTTGCAGAGTTTCTCAAGAGCCAGCATGGAGATGAGTAGCTTCTTAGATCCTTTTGAACAAATCAGCTTGTATTGTTAATGGCTCCATTCTAATGAAACTCAATTTCTCAAATGTGACCATGCTATATTAAACTTTAAAATTACATTCTTAAAATAAGTATAAAAGAAAAAAATAAATGACTATAAAAGAATTTAGGTTGCTCTTTTGTTTTCAGTTATCTATATTGTTATTGTTTTTTTTAATTGAGGAGTATGAGCAGATTGACTGGATTTGTGTTTAAGTGTGAAAAGCCAGATTTGACCGAGAAATTATTTTAAGATGACATAAATATAGCTATGATCACTATACCAAAAACAAAAACTAAGAAATTTAATTTTGGTTTTGAGTCACCATTTAAGATTAATTTTATTATTTTTTTTTAAATTTTGTTATTATTACCTTAGTGATAGATTGGGCAAGCTGCCATTATCACCTAAACAAAAAGCTACATTTTCCAAATGGGTACGCCCAGAAGACCTCACCAACAATCCTACAATGATTTATACTGTGTCCAGTTTCAGCATAAAGCAGGTAAACATTTATTTTGTATAATTTTATATGAAAGCTAACATTTTAAAGTAATTTAAATATAGATTTGACTTTTTCTTAGACTTTTTAAAATATGAATATAATTGGAAAAATTATTGTGCATACTTCAGCTTAGAAATACTGAGATAATAAAAGTATGAATAACTTTTGAGCAATCACAGATTTTTATATAGACCCTATTTATTGATACATGCTTGCAGGTGAGAAAGTTGACAATCTGAATTTCACCTTGGTGAGAAAATAGATATAAAAGATAGATATTGGGCTTATTTAAAACATTTTATTATTGGAATCACAATATGGCTTTATTGCAAACATTTAGTTAAGTTTTGAAGTCACAGATGTCTTCCACATTAGAATAAAAATAATGATCCTGAAATATTATGATTTAAGAATCTTTTGATAGGCATATTTATCTTAATTGGTCATGTTATAATAAACCAACTTTAAAAAATGCCTTTAAATTTTTTGTCATTAAAAACAGTGTGATTCAGTGCGTATGCTTTTATTCATGTAAGGAATGCTTCGCTGAAACACTTTATTTGGTTTTTCTAGGATTTGTTTGAACGAAATACGTGCACATTGGCCATGTGGCATTTCTATTTATATTCTCCTACTCAAGCAATAGTCAGGATATTTAGTATAAAAAGTCAGGTGCTAGATGCAGTGGTTAAATATTGTGGTAATGTTGAAATTACATGAATGAAATATATTAATAAATTCTTATTAACAGACAATAGTATCAGATTGTTCCTTTGTGGCATCACTGGCTATCAGTGCAGCTTATGAAAGACGGTTTAATAAGAAGTTGATTACCAGGTAAAATTTTATATATTTGTCCCTTTAGCCCTTTTCATATGTTTTCCTCTTAAATAGAAATTTAAAACTTAGGCCTTATGGACAGAAAATGAAGAGGGCATAATACTCAGAATATTATGGCCCTTGTGTGTTAAGCAGATGATTTGTGAATGTGAACAGATTTACCGAAACAGTCTAAGAATGTATACACATGTAGTTAATATATACAGAATAAATATGTTTTGAAATAGATGAAGTTGGTCAAAATAAAATCATGTCATGTTTATTTATAATTGCATTTACTGTGTGGTAGCCACTAGCCGGCTACATGTGGATATTGAACACTTGAAGTGGCTAGTCTGAATTGAGATGGACTAGTCTAAAATGCATCAGCTTTTGAAAACAGCACAAAAAAATGTGAAATTGGAGAATATCTCATTTTTATATTAATTGCACATCAGAATTATATTTTGGAAATGTTGGATTAAATAAACTATTATTAAAATTAGTCTTACCTTTCTTTAACCTAAAATATAGAGTAATATAAAATAATGTGATATGAAATAACCTTTCTGTTGGCTAGAACTGCTTAAAATGTACTGAAATGTTATTGAATTACTTTTTCAATTTTTAAAAGTTTTTTTGCCTTAAAGTAATTCATTATAATAATTAAACATCATAAGTTTTTCACAATTTTTCCTGAGTGTTTTGGTGTGTTAAGTTCTGAAAGTACAAAGATGAATTAGACAGACCTTAGTTTCAAGCTATTTGCCTTCTTGGATAAACAGACCTTATAATATAATATGCAGTGTGTGAAAGACAGTTGATACTGTTTTTATCTTATTGGATAATTTTGTGTAACTATATCATAATTGTGCTAACGTCTGTCAGAGTTGTAGTTAGTTGCCTTAGTTGGAATTAATTGAAATGCTCTTTACTTTTGGGGGCCAATAGTAGGTTATTTTAATTGGCTTAAAAGATATCTACTTAAAAGATGATTTATTAGAGTATATTGTTAAAAACTGAGCATCTTTCAGAATATTGTGAAATTTATGTCTTGCCGTGTGATCTCATAAGATATTTTCTTCATTTATCTACATTTAAAAAGCATTTTGATTAGGGTAAAATTCTTTTTCTAGGCCTACTATAGAAAAATATTCTGTTTATTTTTATAAAATTGCCAAGACAATATATGTCTACTGAATATTAATGTTGATATTTTAATATTTTTTTTTACAAAAGCATAATTTACCCTCAGAATAAGGATGGTGAGCCAGAGTACAATCCATGTGGAAAGTATATGGTAAAACTTCACCTCAATGGTGTCCCAAGAAAGGTGAATAATGTCTCTTCCCACCCCAACCTCTTCTCTCTTACCTTCCCTACCTTTGAACCTTGAGTAGAATCATTAAGAAATGTTGCTTGTATAAACATTTAAAAAACATGTAGACATTTAAACATTTAGTTGGTTCGTAATATACATAATACTGTCAATAATGTGTTAATAATTAAAAATCATGAGGAATATAAAGTTGTTTTTTTTTTTTAATGGTTTCGGGAAAATTTATGGCAAGTTCCAAAAAGTAATTATTTTAGATATAATGTACATTTTTAGAATCCCTAATAATTTTGATGGTAGAGTCATAATAACATCTAATGAGTTGGCTCAAGGTTATCACCTGACAGGGAGAATAGCTTGTAAACTTGAATAAAAGATCATGTAATATTTTTAAATTAATCAGATTCTAGAAATAGGAAACTGTCAGTCATTACCTTAATAATAGACAGCATTCCTTTCATTTTATCCGTATGAAAGGTGGGTTCTACTTGATAGAGAAGATTTTAAAATATTTTGTACCACCTAAAAAAATTAATGTTATCTTTCTCCAGGTGATAATTGATGACCAATTACCTGTCGATCATAAGGGAGAATTACTCTGTTCTTATTCTAACAACAAAAGTGAATTATGGGTTTCTCTCATTGAAAAAGCATACATGAAAGTCATGGGAGGATATGATTTCCCAGGATCTAATTCAGTAAGTAATAAGATGATCCAGACACAGACTTATACCAATATGACTTTTTTAAATTTGAAAAATTACAGATGATATTTTTGTTTAAAGGAAAAGAAAACAGATTATGAACCCCTGAAAAATGCTGATTTTATTATGGGAGTACATATTTTTTAAGATTAGCACATTGTACAATTAAGTTCTCACTTAATATTTTCCATAGGTTCTACAACTTGAAGCAAAATTATGTATAATTAATCCAGTTTTACTGTAGGCTAATTGAGATAAATAAGAATTAAATTCCTATGGCATCTCATCAATGTTATAAAGAAACTGTGTTATTCAAGGACTTCCTGTATAGATTTGGTATTCAAGAAAGCCTAAAATGTATGTGTCAGCTCTTATGTTGGGATAAGGATCAATTAAACAGTGTTCCTTTCCAAACAAGCCTCTTCAGGTCTAAGGGATGTGTCATATTGTTATCCTTATATATATTTTTTTTTTGATTTGTAAATTCAAGGATTTTTTTTGTTTTTTAGTTTTTCCCAACCTTAACATGACTTAACCTGTAAAATAGAGGTGTCATTTTTCTTTATTGTATAAGTTAAACCAGAAATTAGCATGACCAAATTATGACAGTAACCAGCCTGTGGCCCTAAAAATGGTATTTAACCTTTCTCAGCATTTTCACTTGTCCGTAATATGAGGATAATACCCACTTTCAGTGTTGTAAAGATTAAATGGTACAATTAATATATGAAAATCACCATCATTCATACCTGGCTAGTTTTCTTGTCTAGTTCTCAGCCTCCTTCATTCTTCTGGTTCTTGTAATGCTAGTCAGAGAATGCATAAGTCAGAGTTAAATGCAGTAGGATGTTAAAATTTCTTCCCAGTGTACATGCTCAATGGCTCTAGCCTTCAAATACTTTTTTAGTTTAGCTTTCTGATCCATTGCATGTTAATTTACCCGGTGTAGCTCAGAGAGAGAAAGAATGAGAATATATGTAGAACATTAGAAAAATAACTATCATATTGTAAAAACCATTAAATGGTGAACTACATGATTGTCGTCATTATTAAAGCAGTTTTTTCTGTTAAATGTTTTGAGTTTTCATCATAATTTATCTGTAAAACATTCTATTATATTCAGGAAAAGCAGCAGAGATTATAAGTAAAAGATAAGCTTGTCCTTAAATCCAGGTAGGAATTTGAGTTAAATAAGAAATGTATTACTGATAGAAAACAACTTACTATCTTCTGGTTTATTTCTTTCAAAATCATTATATCAAATCTATGAGATTTAATAGTACCCTGGGGATGTATCTAAGAGCTTGAAAAAAATAATTCACAGTCCTGAAACGTGTTTATATTGTAGAATATTGATCTTCATGCACTGACTGGGTGGATACCAGAAAGGATCGCCATGCATTCAGATAGCCAAACTTTCAGTAAGGATAGTTCTTTCAGAATGCTTTATCAAAGGTAAACATTTTCTTCTCTCTCCCTCTTTTTTTTTTTTTTGGTAAAAAAAAAAATCTTCATTTTATGCCTTATTTAGAATAGATATTGCAGAGGTTGTCGTTTTCAGTTATTAGGGAAATTGGTTTTTTTTAAAGCTTCACTTTATGTACTTACTGCAACCAACCCTCAGTTATCCTCACTGAAGGATATACAGTTAGTCCAAATTATAGGTAATCTAAAACACTTGAATCAGGAGTATGTGATATGGGAAAATTATTTTGTACTTTCTTAGTACTTACCAGTTGAGGAAGGTGAGAAAAGAGAAGTCTGAGAACATAAAGAAGATAAACTTAAGCCTTAAGTGGATAATTTACATATAGTGTGGGAGTGCCTGTTAGCTCCTAGTTCATTTCACAGACTAAGGCAGTGGGTGGATATAGCCACCTTCACTTCAGAAATCATTGCTAACATATAGGGTCTGGAAAGTTGTCTATACAATAATATACAATCACTAGAAAACTCAGCGATTTGATAAATGATACTGCTTTGGGGGAAGTACATTTGGCATTTCACATCTTCATCATTATCTGTAAATCATTTGAAAATTTAGCATTTTCTTCTTTCATTGAAAAGATTCTACCTGAGAACTAAGTTGTCTAAAACTGGGGTGGGACAGTAATTTATCAGATGTGCTGTAAAATGGAAGTATACCTTTTTTAATATATGTTCTGCCAAAGTGAGCACAGAAATGTACTTCTTATTGAAAGTTCTTCAGGGGGTGTTGGGAATACCTTATTTTAGAAAAAAATTCAGATTATGTGGAAATTTTCATGTGGACCATTAGACTAAAAGAAAGATGGTGTGATCGGAGATTACAAATGAGTTTTCTTTTCATTCTTTGTCTATTGGTGTCATTCCAGGTTTCACAAAGGGGATGTCCTCATCACTGCATCAACTGGAATGATGACTGAAGCTGAAGGAGAGAAATGGGGTCTGGTTCCCACACATGCATATGCTGTTTTGGACATTAGAGAGTTCAAGGTTCGCCTTCAATTTTTTTCTCTTATTTTTCTTGTTTGTTAATAAGACATCGCAGGATTCCCAAATGATGTCTTAGACTTTTGAACACTGACAAATCAAGGTTTAGGTAACGTTTTAGAATCATTTTACCTAAATGATTAAACAACTTGACCTGTCTGCCACTGGGAATTATGAAATAAAAAGATGGGAAATGTAATGACATTGACAGCATAAATATTGATGACAGAACAGAAATATATATTTCTTTCTCTTTTCCATAAAACTAGCAGAGTTAAGGTGAATACACAGCCCTCAGAATACTGGGCTGCATGTTGGTGTTGGGGGTCAAACACAACGTTAGGCTCTAGAGCATAGTAGACATTAAATTCTTGTGAAAGGACCAAAAAATAATAATAAGACACCTATGAATAAGAAACATGCCAATGGGTTTGCAGGTGTTTCTCTTCGTAGCAGCCCTTGCATTCTATCAGGCCTTTCAGACCCTTTCTCTGTGCCCAGATGTTAGAATGGTTGACTTTATTTCTTCTCAAGTATTGATTATTTTCAACTGAAAAATAGATCTGGTCTATGGATTAGAAAATACAAAATTTATTAAAGAAGGACTCCTTTCTCTAATGGTATGGTATGTAAGCTGTCTAGTCACTAGAAAGTTTAGCAGTATCTTTCAGTTTTCCCTGCATTAACTTCTAGATAAAAGTAGTAGTCAACAATAACAGGGCACCAGTGTGTTTTAGACTGATTTCCTTATGTGGCACATGGAATTGTATGAATTATAAAGGCAGCAGGGACCTGCTGCAACATTTAAAAATTTATAATCTCAGGGCTTTCTAAATCAGCCAGTCATTGTTGCACCCTTCCCCTGCCATACTATATAGAATTGTGTCTTTCTTTAAAAGTGGCATAAAAATTGACTACTTAAAGCAAAAAAACATAAAAATTTATGTGAAATTGAATAAGCTGAGGTTTGTTTATTTTATAATGTAGTTTGCCATAAACAATCAAAACATTAAGAATAACTTGCTATCATTTAGTACTATATACATATAATTTTATTGTTAGAACATTCTTTAAGGTAGGTATTAATAGATGACCAATATTGAGGTGGAAGCAAAAGATTTAAATTTAGATAAATAGTCAATATGAAAATAAGCTTGAATTTGAGGAAAATTTCTGTGAATATTGTATCATTTACTTTGAATAATAAGACTGTTCTCATTTTTCAGAGGAAACTAGACAGATTACATGTTATGAGAAAAATAGGCACCTGTGGTTTGACTTGAAACCAAAACATTAAAAAATTGCTGAATGCCAATAAAGTAAGAATTTTAAATAACAGCCTTTTTAGTGAAAAATCGGCATTATTCACACAGTATGAATTCCACATGGCAATTGTTCTGTAAAGATTAAGGCATTTTAGAACATGTGTAGATAGAGTAAACTGTGGCCTGGTGACAGGTTTTTCACTGTGATAATGCTCACAATCACTCTGTAATTCTATGAAAGTTACTGACCCAGCTTGAGCAGACATCTCATACTGTGGAATTGGCCTCAATTTCCTTTTGTTTCCATGAACTCTTTGTAGTCATGGTTGATCTTTGCCTAAAGGCTTCTTCATGTGTGTGAAAATTTATGGAGCTTTTCTTCATTATTTCTGATTGAGTATATATTTGAAGAGTTTTCTGGGTTCATCATTTTTGTGGGTTTCTTTGTTTTTGTTTTGTCTATTTTGAGATACTTCCTTAGTTCTGACTTCTATTTAAAAATATTTCCGTATTTATCTCATTCAGGCATTTGTCTCCAGAACCTCTTTTGTGTAGATACGCCTCATCTTTGACTAAATCTACTCTCAGTCATCTGTCATTCATCACATTCTTCAGTTAGTAAGATTTTCTTATCTTGAGTGAAAATATTATCCTTTTTGACTGCTTCTAACCTTTCGCATATTTTAAAATCTTCATTTTAATCTCAGCAGTCCTCCTTTGGGTCTTTTTTTTTTTTTTTTTTTTATCCTCCCGAGTGATGTTCCATAGTCTACTATGAAGGTACATCTCAGTTTCAAGCTGCTGTCTCTAAGTCCAGACATACCTTACCAATGGATTTCTGAAACTATCCAAGGCTTTTCTTTTACTGCCACTTGGACATAACTTTGCAAGTAGAATGTTTTATTATAAAGCAGATTCTTTTTTTCGTTTTTTAGCATTTCTTCCCCCTTCCAAGGCCCTCTGAATTGCTGGTTCTCTACCCAAACAAAACCTACAGCCATATCTTAGTGTCCTTGAATGTCAGTGATGCCTGGGACCTGCTTCTGGAAAGTTTAGTTGTAATTTCCTCTGTTTATATATTTTTTCACATTTTTTTATTTTATTGAGGTTTTCTTTTCTCATATATAATTAATCATTGTAAAAAAAAAAAATAGACATTTGAACCAGAGGGGAGGGGAAAGTTAGATGGGCTCGGGGGGGTATCAAGTATGTGATGACAGAAAGAAAGCTAACCATGGAAAGTGCACATACAGTGTAAATATATATATGCCTTACTGTTAAAATGTACAGCTGAAACTTATTAGATTTCGTTAACCAATGTCACCATAAAATAATTATTTTTTAAAAAATTAGACACTTGAAAACAATCTGTTTTTAAGGTACAAAATTAATATATATTATGTAGATGTTTAGTATCAATAAATTGTTCAGTCCTTTCTGCTCTTAAGTAAGTTTTGTCTGTTTGATTCAATAGTTCTATAGCAAATATTTTCACAATAATTGTTTTTTCTAAGAATGTTTCCTTGCAATCCTGGCAACTTCAGCTCTTTGCACCAGTGACATTTGAACTAAAATTGGGCTTACTGTGAATGACTAGTATAGTTGCTCTTCAGGTGTTCTTATTTATGCTTCTTTACTTTTTTGTTATGTCTTTTGTAATAGTTTTGTTTGCCTTTATCCTTCAAAGTGGTTCGAAAATCTTCAACCATTTTACATCCCACTTCCAGTTATTTAAAATTTTTTAAAGTGTACTATTGCTCATGGTTTTCTTTTTTTTTTAATTTTACTTTATTTTATTATTAGTTTCAAGTATACAGTGCATTGGTTAGACATTTAAATAGCTTATGAAACGATCCTTCCTTGATTGTCATCCTCTACACATAGGGTGAAAATCAAGGAAGGATCTGCCTCTACACATAAACATTACATTATTGCTGACTGCATTCTGTATGCCATCCTCCCCATCCCAGTAACCATCTATCAACTAATTTGTACTTTAACCCTTTGCTCCTTTATATTTCTTTTTTTAAAAGTGATAGAGTCCTGAAATAAGGCAGAATTCCTGCTCATGTACACCTAGGTTTTATGAAAAGAAAGGAACTAGAATTCAGTGTGTTAGCTGATATGTGGCAGGGGCAGGAGTGAAGCACAAGTGGTGTAGAAGAAATTCAGAAAAATTGTATTAATGAAGATTCTAGAGAATATAGCCCAAGATAAATGAGTCTTGCTTATGTCTAGAAATCACATTACCCCAGGCCAAGATTTGCCACATTTAAAATAGCAGAATTTGTTTTTTAAAGTCCCCAAAACAGTGATTTATGAAATCATTAGAGAAAAACTATGATTTTCTAAGTTGACGACTTGAAATAAGACAAACACTCTTGGATTTGCAAGCTCTTTTGTTTTTCTGAATCAGAGTAATCAATTCTGTAGACACACCCAGTATTTATGGAGCACTTACCTTAACATTCCATAAACTCAATGGAGACTTCTGAAAAAGAATAATACTGTAACTGGCTCAAGGAGTTTACCATCTTTTTGGAAAGACAAGATTCTTACATTTGCACAAGTAGGAAACACTATAAGACAGGATATTAACTGTTTTAAGTTAATGTAATAGAGTTGTTAGCACTATAAACTTTAGAGGAAAGGTCATCATTAAAAGAAGAAAATTATTGCGTGCTAGATATTTTGCATATGTTACTTTATTTAATCTTCACAACCATCTTCTAGGAGACATTATAATCATCATTTCATTACATATGAGTAAACAAATACTCAAAGAAGGTAAATGACCAAAGCAGGTGCCCATAAAGCTGTTAAATAGTAGAGGTGGAATTTGGTTCTATTTCATTCTGACTCCAAAGTCTGTGTTCTTTTTTCATCACTGCTCCAGTCTTCAGAGTGACAGTCAATGGAGGAAGAAACTAAAGAAGATCTGAAAGGAAGGGTAGTTAAAAGGGATCGTCGAGGGCCTTCCAGGAAAGGGAAACAACATGAGCAAATGCCTTTAGAGGTGAAATTGAATAAGGATTATTTGTGGGGTTGTGAGAGAAAAGATTAGGCTAGAGCCAAAGATACACGGGATGTGAGTACTAGAAATTGGTGAGGACGGAGTAAAGTAGGCTTTGAAAGGACATAAAATAACCAATGTTCTAAGTCAACCTGATTGGACTCCCTTCATTGACAGAAATGTTCTCTGTCTTTGCTGTGCAGTGCATTAGCTACGAGCTTCACATGGTCCTTGAACACTTGAAATGTGGCTAGTGTAACTGAGTAACTGATTTTTAAATTTTTTTTAATTTTATTTTAAATAACCACATGTGGTTTAGTGACTACCATATGGACAGCATAGCTCTAGGGATAGATAGCCATTTACAGTTTTGATCAGATATGTGACATGGTGAAAGTGTTCTTTAAAGAATATTAATTTTAAATTGATGTGGTGGGAAAAGAATTGACAAGTATTCAGAATACATCCTTCCTTAGAGAATGATATAACTAATAAAAATATGGTAATAACTGTTTTGCAACTTTGATGTCTCATGTTTTTTGTGTTTTTTTTTTTAAATAGGGGCTGCGATTTATCCAGTTGAAAAATCCGTGGAGTCATTTACGTTGGAAAGGAAGGTATAGTGAAAATGATGTAAAAAACTGGACCCCGGAGTTACAAAAATATTTAAACTTTGATCCTCGAACAGCTCAAAAAATAGACAATGGTAAATATATCTTTTTGTAATTTTAATACCATTTGATCTTTAAATACATGCTTTAACAATGTGAGATGTGTTTAACTAATTTGGTATTCATCATTAAGATATTCTTTAGATTAACAAAGACACCTAATTTTCAGGCATATTTTGGATTTCATGGGATGATCTCTGCCAGTATTATGATGTGATTTATTTGAGTTGGAATCCAGGTCTTTTTAAAGAATCAACATGTATTCACAGGTAACTTTTTGTGCATTTCAGGGTATGCTTTATAGTAGTCTCCACTTTTTTTATTTAAAATGAAATGATTAATTTAGGAAGACTAGTATTCTCCTTTTGTCATGCCCACGGTTGACTATCATGTAATAGTTACTTCCTTTAAATTTTGCCTGGTTATACCAAAAATTTACGGACAGAAAAATCTGATAATTATATCTGAAACACAAAACTTTTTGAAAAGTAATATATTTTAGCTCTATGGGAATTTTAATTACTACCTTCTTTGTTGACTTTATATTTTAGTACTTGGGATGCTAAGCACGGACCTGTGAAAGATGCCTATAGCCTGGCCAACAACCCCCAGTACAAATTGGAGGTGCAGTGTCCACAAGGTGGCGCTGCGGTCTGGGTTTTGCTTAGTAGACACATAACAGACAAGGTACTGATGCCCTTCTTAAGATATTCCATACAGAAATTCTTTGAAATGTAATTAGACCGTTGTGAATGAGATATCTAATTTGATCACCAGCCTGTTTGATTTATGTAGGTGGCTTGAAAACTGTATTTTCTTAGCTAAATGTATATTTCCCTCTAAGGAAATTTATCATTTATAATCATACACTTAGAAGTCTTATTCAGAAATCATCCCTGAAGAAAAACAAGGAGTTTATGCTTTTTAGTGAGAGTTTTCATGTTGATTATATATACTTTAGGTCTTAAGAATATTAACATTAAGATATGGTAAAGGGGTTTTGGAAATTTTGAATCATGAGGCCTGCCTGATTCTGTAATGGGTGATGATAATTTTAATAGCCTCAGTCTCCTTTTAATATATTTGTTCATACAGTATGGTCAATATATTGAAAAGACAGTTTAATTCGTAAAACCAGTGTTTTTAATTGCACTAAATAGCTGAAATAAATGCTCTAAAAGTTAGAATTATTCTTTTTATCCACTTAAGAGCATTTTTGAGCCCATTTTTCTAACCACTTTGGATTCTTTGTGCTTTTAGGATGATTTTGCAAATAATCGAGAATTTATCACAATGGTTGTATACAAGACTGATGGGAAAAAAGTATATTACCCAGGTAAGTTTAGTAGGTAAAAATTGAAACAAACATTAAAGTTTTGATTACATGATTAAGTTGAAAATGACAGATTTTATGTAGATAATATGCATAAATTAATTATGCTAGACTAATAGAAACCACTCAAACAGGTGAGTGTGTATTTATGCTGCTGTGTGTTTTGTTTTGATTTGTTTTTAATAGAGACCTCAGGAATTTTAGATTTCTCCGTTTTTACACATTGCTGTCAGTTTTATTTCTGAAACTTAAATCATATCTTTTTCTCTGATTGAAAAATCTGTGGTTTTTCGTGGATTCTTGGATAAAATCCAAGCTCATCACCATGGTGTATAAAGCTTTTTATATCTGGGCCTTAACAACTTCCCGTCCCCTTTTATCTCAGGCCTCCTTTTCACAGTAGCGACGAGGGCATGACATGTTTAAGAGTAGCCAGCACCACAGTGAGGTGCTGGCTACTCTTAAACATGTCATGCCCTCGTCACCTCTCTTTCCACACAGTTTCTTCCACCAAGAATCTCTCCCCTCTCTGCTCTCTGCCCACATAGTCTTTTTACCCTCTTCTGCATAATGAACATAATTAAGATCCAGCTTATATGTTATTTCTTGTGTGATAACCTTTCTGCCAAAGTGAATCTTCCCTTCTGAGGGCAGCTGAGACATTTAACATATTGAAACCGTTTTTGTTTTCACAGTCAAAAAAATTTATATCACTTACTAAGTGATAGGAACTATTTGTTATAGTCAGGGAGACAGATAAGCAAAAAAATAGTAATGCATGCTTGTAAAGAAACAAATAGGGTCATGTGTTAGTGACGGGTTGCTTGTTGGATGGGTAACCATACAAGGCTTCATTGAGAGGGATAAGAGGAACTCTGACAAAAATGAATCAGTCATTCAAAGAAATAGAGGGAAAAGCAAAAGGAACAGGCAGAGGGAACAGCAAGTGCAAGGACTCTAAAATGAGAAAAAGATTGGGTTTTTTTTGAAACAGGAAAAAGGCCAGTAGGCCTGGGGAGGTATGGTATCTGAAGAGGTCAGAAAGGTATGCAGGCTCAGAAGCTCACATGAGGTTCTGTATGCCACACGAAAGGGTTTGGATGTGTTCTAAGTGTGATGGGAAATCTTTGGAGAGTCTTAATTAGGAAAATGACATGATCTAATTTTTTTTTTTAAGAAGATTCTTAGTAGAATATATTGGAGGGGCAAAAAATGAAAGTAGAGAAACCAGATAGGCAATTTTGGAGAAGAGATGGTGGTTTGAACTTCAGGTGGAGGAAGGGAGTAGATAGATTTGAGTTTCAGTAGGATTTACAGGACCTGAGTTGACATAGGGGGCAAAGACTTATCAAGGATGATTCCTATTTTTTTTGGCTTGAGCAATAGAAAGGTGTACTATTTACTGAGATGGCTAAGTATTGGTGGGTAGGGAGGAGCAGTTAATTTTTGGTTTCGTTAAATTTGATACCCTATTAGATGCCAAGTAGGCATTTAGATTTCTGAATAGAATTCTGGGATAAGGTATAGAGTGTAGGTGTAGATTTAGGAGTAAGGAGCATATAGATGGCATTTGAAGATAGCTCTGTATTAAATCACCTATGGAAAAAAAATAAATCATCTATGGAGAGAGCTGTAGGTATAGAGATGAACACCCCAGACCTGACCACTCATGAACTCTGACATCCTAAGGTTAAGCAAAGGAAAAGTTACCATAAAAGAATTTGAACAGAGTACCTGATGAAATACAGAGTAATGTTTCATATAACCTAGGAGAAGAAAGAAAAGAATGGACAACTGCATTGATTGCTATTTTAGAGGTTGATTAAGATTAGGTTAGAGAAGAGACTATTGGACTTAGCATCCTAGCAGTCATTGTTGACCTTGACAGGAACAGAGTTGGAGGAAGGGCAGACTAGAAGGCCAATTGGAGTGGTTTAAGATGAGACTGTGAAGGAAGGAAGCAATTATTGACAGTTCTTTCAAAGAAATGGGCAATGTTGGGGGAGCTGTTATGAAAAGTGATGTTGTTGAGTTTTGTTTTGCTTTATCATAGGAAAATATGGCACTGTGTTGAAGGCATGTAATTGATTCTCAGTAGGCAGTATCTCTAAATATTCTGGAACGGGCATGGCACATAGTAGATCGAATGATACATGTTGGGTTAAACCAGCCAAATTTTCCATTTTTGCACATTGGTCATTATACAACCAAGAAAAAGCACAAATGTTGCGACTGTATTCCTAGCATTAAAGCGTTATGTAACTTTCAAATTTTAAATTTCTTTACTCTTTTTACTTGGATTTTTTTAAAAACGGTGCTCCCTTTTTAACAGTGATTTTGCCTTTGTAAGGTACTTTCTGGTTTGTAGATTTATTTTCATCACAGACCTCTGAGATAAATGGAACAGGCCTTATTGTTCCTCATTTGACAGAAGAGTAAACTGAGACATAGAAAGGTTAAAAACCTTGTCCAAGATCATAGATGTGCCCATTCTTTTTCTCTTCGCACTAGATTATACACCTCTAAGCTTTAGAGATGTATTACCTATTTGAGATACTAAAATGTTTAGTGTTTCTAATAGATCACATTGTAAATAATTGGTGTTCGTAAATAAGCCAAGTGATATAGCATTGATCTTAAATGACATATGGCAATTAAAATGCATGAAACGATTTTATTATGTCAGCTTCAATGAGACTAACAAAATATATGTCAAGCAGCATTGTTTGTGAAGGCAAAATATTGGAAATAATCTGAATATCCAGATTGTCTGGATAACTAGATGGGGGCTATAGATAAAATGTGTTGTAGTCATACAATAGAATATTAAATAGGCAGTTTTAAAATAAACCATATCTGTGTATAACAACATGAATCTCAAAAACATTGAAAAATGAAAGATGTAAAATAAAACACATACAGTCCTTTTTTTAGATATATGCTCACAGAAATAAATTTACCCATTCATTCTTTTTAAGGGATACGTGTGTGTGAAAGTTTGGAAAGATGTCCTTCAAATCTATCAGAGTGGAATGGAATAAAACGAAGGGTGGCGGTTAAAAGGGACTTTGTTTTATGAAGAAGCTAGTATGGCAAAAAAGAAAAAGTTAATTGAATGATAGGGAATTTTTATATGTTTCTTTGTATCATTTTTAAAATTTTTCCTTAAAAGAAGAAAAAGCTAATCCTAACTTTAAAATCTTATACTAGAGAAAAAGGCGCAACATAGGGCAAGTAATAGGGATTACTTTATACGTTATTGAATATATTCTAAAAGATACTTTTGCTGATTAGAAACTTTTAAAGTTTTATATTGTTTAATTGTAAAGTTTTTAATTGAAATTATAATTCTTTAGTACTATTGTATTTAAAGATAGAATCAATTAAGGGGATGTCTATTTTTTCTACCATCAACCATAAAACTTAAATTTAAAACTAAAGTCTTCTTTTCTATAAACACACTTGTTTATTTGCAGCTGACCCTCCCCCATACATTGATGGGATTCGAATTAACAGCCCTCATTATTTGACTAAGATAAAGCTGACTACACCTGGGACCCATACCTTTACATTAGTGGTTTCTCAGTATGAAAAACAGAACACAATCCATTATACAGTCCGGGTAAGTAAACCAATATACAATGACAAAACAATAATATAAAGTACATAATGTGCTCTGTTGTGTAAGTGGGATTATTTCTGAAAAATAATTGTTATCTATAATTGTATTGCTTGTTATCTATGTATATTTGTGTGTATGTGTTTGTATGTATATCAGTTCAATATTATTATGACGCTTTCTGCAGAACATGATACTTTTGAAAAGTAATCTTTTATTTCGAATAACATTTTTAATGAGCATTTTAGTTTTCAGAGTTACAGTTCAGTCTTGAGGTAATGTATGTTGAATATAAGACTTTGAACTTAGGGAATCGATGGCCTATGAACATTGCTCTCATAGTTAGGAAGGTCACTGTAATTTGGTTCTGCTTAGATATTTCCATAGACCAGCAACGGAGCTCAATTTGAATAGATTTTTAGTGACATTGGGGAGCTAACTTCACTCCATCCTTCAGATGCAGATGCCGAGGCCTAGAGAGATGGTGACCTGTCCTGAGTCACACACAGCAGCAGAGAAAGCCAAGACAGATCCCTAGCTTCCCAGTTCCCAGTTCATTAAATCTAACTTGATACCAGGCTGCCTGCAGATCATGATGTTTATATGTGCCAACTAATTTTTCAGTCTTCCAATATATTTTATCACTTTGTTTTTATAAGTATAAACTTTATCAGTACAATAACTTTTTTTAATCTAGGTATATTCAGCATGCAGCTTTACTTTTTCAAAGATTCCTTCACCATACACCTTATCAAAACAGGTAAGAGAATTGTTTCTTAGGATCATAATCTCATAGACCTCTTAGAATTCTTTTTTTTTTTTCTCATTTTCTCTTTTTATTCACATTTAACAATTTCTTACAAAATAAAAGTATTCTGGGACTTGAAAGGAATAAGGAAAATGTAAGTAGCTTCCACCCAGTCTGGGTTGGAATACAAGGTCTTCAGTGAGCAACATTAAGTGATTCTGTGGGAAGAAATAAGAAGTTCAGAGAAAGATTAATGCAATCTTTGGTCTAAGGAAGGCCATGTGGATAAACCTCTTAATAGAATGAGATTGACTTTGCAAGGCGGGCTAGATGTATAGAGGATGATTTGAGGGAGCATTATTGTCAGGGAGAACAACTTGATTGAAGACTGAGAGATGGAGATGGGGTTCAAGTAGCAGTAGCAGCAGAGTAGCCTGGCTGAAACGGGAGTTTATTTGCACCGTCAGTGGCAAATAAAGAATGGAGAGAGGGTGGAGCCAGAGTGGGAGGTTGTCTTCCCTTTTTTTGGAGGGAGGCATGTAAAGGAGTTTTGTCTTTAACGTGGAATTGGAGAATGTGAAGTTTTGTTAATATAAAAACTTTGTTTTATTAGATTAATGGAAAGTGGAGTGGTCAGAGTGCTGGAGGATGTGGAAATTTCCAAGAGACTCATAAAAATAACCCCATTTACCAATTCCATATAGAAAAGACTGGGCCATTACTGATTGAGCTAAGAGGACCAAGGTTTGTGATAAGTAACTTTCTTAAATGAATAATGTCATGCAAAAATGAGCTTAGTGGAACAGAATAGTGTTTTGAAACAAACCCATGCAATATGTGGACACTTGATTTATGATAAAAATGATATTGCAGAGGAGTAGGAAAAGGACAATCTGTTCAATAAATGGTGCTGGAATAATTGAGTATCCATGTACCAGAAAGGTAATTAAACCCTGTCTCACAGCAAATCTGAAAATCAGTTCCAGGTGGATTACTAATATAGCAGATATCTTTAAAAGATTTTTAAATATAAAAACGTCTGCAGTTTTTTAAAAATTCAAATGCAAACAGGCATGTCATAAGAAAGATAATCCAAATGGCCACTGATTGTAAGAGCCAGAAATTTGAAAGGACCCAAATGTTCATCAGTGACATTTAAGATTATAGTCAGAGTCCTGCATAACAATGGAAATAAATTATAGCTAACCACATGATGGATAAGTTGTAAAAATAAGGCTAAACAACAGAAACCACAGTATGTACTATATGATTCCACTTAATGAAGTCAAGAACAGACAAAATTAAACTTTTAAAGATGTACACTTTGATAGTCACACTACATAAAAAGCAACAAAGTGATTGCCGTAAAAGTTAGCTGTGTGGGGCAGGAGTTGTGGTCAGAAAGGAAGATACAAGGGACTTAATTCTGTGGTGCCAAGAGGGTTGTGTCGGATCTAGGTGGTTGTAACCCAGGTGTGTGTTCACTTCACAAATTGTTATATATTTTACATACATTGTTATGTATCACAATTTTAAAAGTTTTAAAAAATAGAAGATACAAATAAAGTACTTCTAAATAAAACTAGGCTTAATTTTGCCTGCCTTACAAACTAATTCAAAAGAAACTAAAAATCATTTAGATACGACTAAGCTCTTTTTCCTTAATCATTTAAAAAACTTACCAGCTTATGATAGGTGAAATAAGAGATCTAATCGCCCTTTTGTATTTAATTTCTAGATAGATTAAACATGTAAAAATGTTTGACGATGTGTATTTTTTCCTTTATTGCCTAATTCATGTCTTTTGCCCATTTTTCTGTTGGGAGTTGCCATGTTTTTTCATAACTGTTAGCATGAATAAGCATATGTCTGTAAGGATACTAACACCTTCACATATTTGCAAGTATTTTTCCAGGTCATTTTTTTCACATAGAAATTTCATTTTAAAGTAATCAACTCAGTCTTCTGGTTTATTTTGCTGTGGGCAGGAAATCTCACCCCAGTAGGCACTTTTCACCATATTTTCTTCTAGTTCTTTTATGGTTTTTTTACAGTCTGTTTTTTAAATCCATATGGAAATATTTTTATAGTTGGCATAAAATACAGTTTACCAATTTTTTCTAAGTTTTTGTTACCTCATCACCATCTAAATAAATA